TTGACACAAATCTATATATATGTTACTGTGAATGACCGATATATGGCGAATGTCACCATTCACACAGTCGTTTCGTGTATGTACGAAATATTTGCTAAATATCATTATTTCTCACTTACACCGGCAAATGTCGATATTCAGCATGCACTGATGGTGAATATTAAATAAAAATATTTTTATCACGTTAAGACAAAAATGCAACTTTTTAATATGTCAAAATAGGAGAAAGCTTAAGTAACAGCACATGTAAATAAACTGTTAAAGCTAAAACAAACAGTACATTCTAAATCATTAAAGAAAATAATACAATAGTAAACTTACACATATATTATGTGATTTAACGTTATAGATTCTTATTTATTGCAACAACTTAAACTGTTATGGCACTCTGAATTGCACAAGAGTCCCTTGCTTTTACAACTGCATTTATTCGTGGAACACTTCTCTTTGCAATGGTTAAAAGCAAGGGACTCTTGTCCCTTGCTTTTACAACTGCATTTATTCGTGGAACACTTCTTTTTGCAATGACAGCGTGTATAGTCTTGCCTTCCACTTTTCGAATTAGCTGCAGCTGCTTCTCTCAGTAATTTTTCTTGAGAAGAAATCTCATCTATGGAAAGTAACTTTTCTTTACAAATTACGAACTGATTACGGGTATAAAGCTGCTTGAGGGTATTATTTTTGTTTGCTAATTTATAAAAGTCAGAGTCTTCTATAACTCTTCAACAACAACTGCAAACACATTTCGGGCATCTGTACGGCCTTGGTCAACATCAGGGACTTGTATTCGTACGGTATCACCAATTTGAGCAGAAGCAAAAAGCAAACAATTTGGCGACAGACTGTCGACATCGGCACTAGGGTGTCATTTCGACCACCGCCAAAGCTTATCTGTGCTTGTCGACATACACCGACGATTGTTCGAATGTATAATAATATAACCAAATATTCGGTCTTTCATCAACGTATTTTGTATGTTTCGACATTCACCGGAGAATATCGACATTCTCTAATTTTGGTCTTTCACAGTAACATATATATATATATATATATAATCGAGATGGGTTGATGATGATAATCAGCGCAGAGCCCAAACGGCTAGGAGTTGAAAGTTGGTACACAGTTAGGATACGTCACGAGACCGTACGCTAAAAAGGAATTATTCGAAATCCCCCCCCCCAAGGAGAAGAGGGACAGGATTAAGACTTCAAATTGGAAGTATTAAGTAACAATGCAAGTGTTAGAGAAAGAAACCTGCAAGATTTACAGGCGCAGATGCGATTTTTTTGCGTTTAGTGGGAAATCGAATATATTTTTAGACCCATCTAAAAATTTTTTAATTAGTCTGGAAACAGGGGGACCTAATTCTTGCATTCTGTTAAAACGGTTAATAATGTAATAATCTTAACCTTCGCTATCGTTACTTTTTGCCTGAGCAACTCCGGGCTTATCTTCTAGTTATTAATACTGTATTTATAAACGCGCTAGCTTTACTTTTCGAATCTTAACGAAAAATATTCGAGAGTAAAGTAAAACTTAAAGACTATCATAAAATATAAGTCCCTACATATTTATTGAACTCTTGATTTAAGTACAGTAATTATAATTGTTAGATTTATACTTTTTTGACTAATCACTTTGTTATATATAACAGAGCGATTGGGAAAAATAACACTCCTACTAGATTTTTACATGTTTTGGACACAAGTGATGAAAAATCGAAAAATGCAAAAGAAAATGTTCGGAGGATTTTTTTTCTGTATATATAGATGATTAGGAATAGCTTAATGAGACCGGCTATTCTTGAAGGTTACACCTGGCCATGCAACTCGCACCAACTCATTAACACGCGTACAATATTCCAACATATCGCATTTATATCCCTTTGTGGGGCCATTGAGGGTATTCACTCCTGTACAATGGATGGCAAGTAGCTTCCCCTTGGTTTGTTCTGTAGTTAATCAATAGTTGTCTTATTACTTATTAAGTATTTCCTTTTTTTATTATTTTTTGTCTTTTTTCTTCTCATTACCTTTCACCCAGTTTTCGGTTAGTCTTAGTTGTAAGTTAAATTAGCGCATGTTAGCTATAGCTTCTCGATTAGGTTTTGTTAGGTTAGTGTAGAAGAAAACGTTGGTGTCTTGCTTATTTGTTTTTTCTATGTAGTCTGTTTTGTCGTTGTCCTCGTTTGTATATCGCGCTGTCTATCTAGCAGTTAAGTTAGCCTTAAGTCTTGCGCTCGCGTTTTCTATTATTATTGGATTGTTCGGAAAGTAAGTTCGTTTTTTTTTACCACTAGACGGAATAGTGGTATTTTTCCCGCAATTTTCGTTCTAAACCGTATTATCATTATATATTTTGACAGCTAGCATTTTATGGCTTATTTATAAGAAATTTTGTTTGATTTCGTGCAATTGTTTATTTTTTGTGTCCTATCAAATATGGAAGATCGAAAGCAGCAACTTCGGCATATTTTGCTTTTTTATTACCAAAAAAATAAAAATGCCGTTCAAGCAAGAAAAAAATCGGTGGAGATGTGTTGACAGAACGACAGTGCCAAAACTGGTTTACAAAATTTCGTTCTGGCAATTTCAGTATTGAAGATGCACCACGTTATGGATGGCCAATTGAAGCCAATGATAACAAAATAAAAGTACCGATTGAAGCAAACTGCAAAATAACAACACGTGAAATCACTAAGAGATTAAATTTGTCAAATTGAACTGTTTATGAGTACTTAAAACAAATTGGTTTCGTTTCAATGCTCGATGTATGAATTCCACGAGTTCTTAAAGAAAAATGCTCTATTTGGTGGGATATTAAGGAAATTTTTTTTGGAGCTTTTACCAGACAATTTAACAATTGATTCGAAAGTGAACTGCATTCGAGTAAACAAATTGCGTAATATCATCAAATAGAAAAAGGCAGCCAGAATTGATTAAAAAAACAGCTGTAGTGTTTTACCACAATAATGCCAAATTTCACACAAGTTTGGTAACTCGTCAGAAACTGTGATAACTTAGATGGGACGTGCTATCACACCAACCGTATTCGCCAGATCGAGCACACTCAGATTATTACTTGTTCCGGTCTGTATAACTTTTTTTAACTGTAAGACATTTACTTGAAATGACAATGTCAAAAATCACTTGGATCGGTTTTTTGTAAGCAACGATCAAAACTTTTATGAATGTGAAATTGTGCTACTACCAGAAACGATGACAACAGGTATTTGACCAAAATGGTCAACATATAATTCAATAAAATATTTATTTATCATAAGAATATTGCGTTTTTTTCTGTGGAAAAAAACGAACTTACTTTCCGAACAACCCAATACTATTAAGTAGATAGAAGTTATTCACTAACAGCCACTTGACACTAACTTCTACTCTTAGATATTCGTGGCGGTCCTCAATCATTGCTGTTCGCTATTCTCAGGTTTTCCTTAGATCCTTTGGGGGACCACAGACTTGCAGCCTAAAAACTGCATGCTAACATTAAACTTAGAGGGTTCAATAACCAAATGAACACCGCTCAGAGGGATCATACCTTTTTCTACTGTCTATCTTTTCTCCCTCCTCCATTTTTTAACGTTTTTTTTTCGCCAACTAAACAGACCATATACGTGTCATATACAAAGTCTTTCGATTAAGTGTATATATGGATGTTCGTGTGGGTGTTTGTGGGAGCAATATTTTCTTCTTCCTTTCGGACTTAATAATTTCTATGTCTTCTGTAGAAAATTTCTGAAATTTTCAAGGAGGTTTTTGTATTAGGATCATTGATGCTATCTAACATTGAGCGGGTGACATAAAAGGGGCTCGTTTTTTCTGTGTAGTAGGGTCACTATTCACGACGATTTTACTCGTTATTAGTATTTACAATTTTTTAAACAAAACCCATTTCTATCCTAAAAGTTTAAAGAATTTTGCTATTTTATAATAAATTTATCTCAGATCAGATTTAAATGTTTCCAGGTGAGTTAAGAAACTTAGCTGAATTTTTCAATGAAGTAATGAAATTCAATGAAAGCATTTTAACTTATTTAATATAATCACAGTACAAGTTCGAATACCAGAGTGATTTTTGAAATATGTACACTGTAAATATCAAATAATTCAAAAACAGTTTACATATTTTAAAAGATTCAGTGTAGAGAATAGAAATTTTAATCACTGTACTTTGTAAATACTGTAAATACTTTGAATTAGTTTGAGATTTAAACATGTTTTATTTTTTTATTTAGCTGATTTTCATCTTGAAAATACAGAAAACAGAAACTACAAAAGGAGAAGAATGAAATCCACGATTAACTCTTAAGAATTTGTATTTTACAGGCTTGAAAGTTGTAAATTCGTCTTACAGGAAACGTGCTATAAAAGAAATATTTTATTAAATTATAGTATCCTTTTTATTTGAATGGAACGTATTTTACAATTATACATTTAACACTGTAAATGAATAGGATTATGAATAAAACATTATAATTTTAAAAATGTCAAATTAAATTAAAATTTATAGAATTTATTTCATGTGTATTGTTATTACTTTCAGTTGTTCTTTGGATGAAATACAAAGTTTAGAAGAAAAGATTTTCGAAGATTTTAAAGAACGAATTATATTAAATAGTATTTTACTTACATTGATGCTCCTCATTTAACAGTGTCAACGAAGAAGCAGGAGAAAGATCTATTACATAAATATACAAATAAAGATCAACGGAAAAGCATGAAAATATACAAACATTTTATAAATATTTTACATAAATTGTTTACTTTAATATGATTAGCTGTGGTTGAAAATATTAGTAATATGATATACTAATGCTCAAACTTCTCATCTTTAAAATTAGTTATTGTGTTTTGATGCAGAAATGTGCTTTTAGATATAAAGATGCTTATGTTTAGTTAAATATTATTAGTGGTTAATTATTGTTGTGATTAAAGAAAATTAATTGATTATGCACAGATAAAATATTATTTAGATCAATTTTTTTAATTGCAGATAAAAGGAACCGAAAGATATTTTCATGTAAACACTGTGAGAAGAACTTTACATCTGAACACAATTTACAAAGCCATGAAATAGTACATACAGGAGAAAAGCCTTACACTTGTAACGAGTGCAAACAAAAGTTTACACAAAAGGGCCACTTAATTATACACCTTCGCACCCACACTGGAAAAAAGCCTTACGCTTGTGAAGAATGTAAAAAGAAGTTTACACAAAAGGGAGACTTAATTAAACACGTTCGGACTCATATTGGAGAAAAGCCTTACACTTGTGACGAGTGTAAACGGAAGTTTACACTAAAGGGACACTTAATTAACCACCTTCGCACCCACACTGGAGAAAAGCCTTACGCTTGTGAAGAATGTAAAAGGAAGTTTACACAAAAGGGAGACTTAATTAAACACGTTCGGACTCATACTGGAGAAAAGCCTTACACTTGTGACGAGTGTAAACGGAAGTTTACACTAAAGGAGAACTTAATTAAACATCTTCGGACCCATACTGGAGAAAAGCCTTACATTTGTGATGAGTGTGAAGAGAAGTTTTCTGTAAAGGGAAGCTTAATTAGACATCTTCGCACCCACACTAAATGAAATCTTTACAGTTGTGACGAGTGTAAGCAAAAGTTTAATTAAAGAAACTTTGCATCCACTAAGGAGAAAAACCGTATGTCAATTATGTCCATAGAAATTCATTTGAAATACGGACCTAGAAAAAACATTAAAATATTCATTAGAAACAATTTTTCTTCAAAAGTTATAATTTTTATTATGTATAACGATTAAAATATTTAATTAAAACTGGTTTAAAATTAAAATCATTTGTTAATTTCGTTGAATTTTTTGAAACGTTAACTAAAAAGCATCACGATATTTACATTCAGATGTAATTTACTTTCAATTTTATAATTTCATATAAAAAAACATCATCTTTGTTAATTTACAGAACTCAGTATTTATTAGTAAATTCTTCTACAAACAAAATTTATAGTTTTTCACTTTGTAACTTTAGTTCAGAATCTGAAGTCAAGATTTTCTCCAATAAGTTTGTTTACTCGTTTGTTTCGAGAAGGTGTGTTGTAAGTTGGTTTTTTCAATCTGATGGCATTTGAACCTAGAATTAAATTTTGCAGAAAAGTCACGTGATTTAAAGTTTAGTTTGTGACACTTTTGTTTCCATAATACTATCCACTCAGTATAATTTATTTAACGTCAGGTTAAATTGTGTGGCCCGCTAAGTAATATTATATATTTATTTAAACTTTAGTTTTTCGCTATGTGTATACCAAAAGAATTAAATAAATAAAAATTTTCGTGTCATTGTTATAATGGGCAAATGCGAGTACAAACTCTTGGTATAACAATAAAATTTCATTCATTTTGTATTTGTTTTATTTTTTAAAAGCATATTTTCGGACTTATCTAAAAATATTTTAATTAGCTATTATCAGCTTATTATACTAGCTTATTATTATTAGACTTATTATACTGGCTTAACAGACAATACAGAATTTCACAGAAAACAATTTTTATTTAATATACCTGGACACATACATAATTTTTGCGTTTCGGACATATTTGTTCCTCCTCAGCAGGTATTTTTGTATTCTATTCTATAAATAAATTTTTTTAAAATTACATTTAAAATTACCGACAACTTATTTACAAAGTAAAATTCTTACAATGTTTAGATTTTCTTTTACATTTAACTCCACCGGATATTCAATTATAACCAGCAACGACAGTATTACTATGAACTTATACCTGTTTTAAACAAATTATTATTTTAACATTATGTCATTTTTTTACATTTATTTAATATTTACTATTTCACAACTTACATCTCTTCTTGTTGCATTTGGCTAACACTTCGTTTCCACTTTTACCTAATGTTTTTTTATCCAAAACGTATACTGAATAAATGGTTAAAAAATCTGAAAAATGATAAACAAATAAGATTAATAGATAAAGAGAAAAGTTTTGTTAAAATAAAGTATATCCCTAAGATGTTTGAAAGAATCAAAAAAGTATTAAACAGTAGAATTAATTTAATACCAGAAAAAGTAAATTCAACAAAAAACAATTTATGTTATAGAAATGAAGGAAAATATGACAGAAGAAAAAGGAGTGGTGTACTCCTTTTAATTGTAATTGTAAACCAGAAAAAAAATATATAGGAGAAACGAACACATCAGAGCAATCAAGGGAAATTATACAAATTCAGTAATAGCGGAGCATTGTAATAATACAGGTTGTGAAATAGTATTAAATTCTGTAAAAATAAGGAAAAAAGAAAAGAATAATTACAAAAGACAACTTTATGAACATATTATATTAATATAATTAGACAAAATAATAGGATAAATAGCAATACTGGTAGAGAAATGCACCAATCATGGCGAAGAATCTTAGAAAAAGGAGTGTGTCCAGAAGATAAAAAGAACATTCGGAAAAAGTGGAAACGAAGTGTTAGCGAAATGCAACAAGAAGAGAAGTAAGTTGTGAAATAGTAAATAAATGTATAAAATATTAAATAAATGTAAAAAATGATATAATGTTAAAATAATAATATGTTTAAAAACAGGTTTAAGTGTATAATAATAATGTTGTTACCGGTTAGAATTGAATATCCGGTTAAGTTAAATGTGGGAGAAAATCTGAACATTGTAAGAATTTTAATTTGTAAATAAGTTGTCGGTAAATTTTAAATGTAATTTTTAAAAATTTTTTATTTATAGAATAGAATACAAAAATACCTGATGAGGAGAGACAAATATGTCCGAAACGCAAAATTATGTATGTGTCCAGGTATGTTAAATAAAAATTGTTTTCTGTGAAACTCTGTATTGTCTATTAAGCCAGTATAATAAGTCCTGATAATAGTGAATGCTTGTTTACAGACAAAAAATTTATAATTTAGTAAGAAAAGGACATCGAGGCATTTTAATTAAGCTAATCTTACCCGTTTTCACATATTGCAAGAATTAGTCCCCTGTTTTCAGACTAATTATAGAACTTTTAGATGAGTGTAAAAATATTCTCGATTTCTTGCAACAAACGCATCTGCCCTGTTAATTTTGCACACTGCTTTCTCTTTACACTTCCATTGTTAACACTTTCATTGCTACTTAACGCTTCCATTGTTGAAGCCTTAGTCTTGTCTCTCTCCCCCGCGGGTGGGAATTTCGAAAAATCCCTTCTTAGTGTGCGTTCTCGTGACATACCCTAACTGTGTGCCAAATTTTAACTTTTAACCGTTTGGGCTCTGCGCTGATTATTATCATCAATCCGTCTTGATTATATGTATTCCGATAAAACATAATCAGTCTAGATTATATATATATTCCTATAAAACAGGCGATATAGGCGGCCAAAGGAAAATTCTTCAATTTAGGAAGGATTTTCCTTTGGCCGCCCATATCGCGTGTTTTAGGCATCCATTGTTATAATCGGGATACTTCTTGTCGCTGATACATCTTTTTTAATACTCTTTCGCCCTGTGGGCACTAAGAGGGCCTTTTATAGCAGACCCATTATGGTTTCGGCCAGGCCCTCAATGGGGCGACCGGGTGGTGATGGACGGGGCCCGACATATCAGAACGGACCATCCCCCAAAAATTTCCTGGGTGTTCCTTGACTCATCCGGATTCGATCCCAGGTTCCCCAGAGCAGTAGGCTGACACCTTGACCACTCACTTGTCAGTCATCTGGCCTGTCACTGATACATGAATACTTTTGGATAATTTTGATAAATCTTTCCAGATCTATTCTAGAGTAGCCACGAGAGAACATACACAAAAGCTTGTTTTACGCCATTTTCGGTCACAATTACTTAGATTTCACTGACTTCTGCTTGGTGGATGGGTAACGTTTTATGTCCGTATTCGCGTTGAAAGTTGAACACGGCTCAACTCGCTTTTATGCTGGTTTTACGACCTGCTCGGGCGTAAAATAACATGGTGGTCACGTGATTAAAAACTTTTATAGTGAGGGGTTTTACTCCCGTTTTTAAGCTAGTGGAGTTTTGGCCTAACGAACACTTTGGCGAAAGATTTTTATGTTCGGACAACAAAGACATGATCGGATAACGAACATCTCACAGAACAAACACAATAAGAAGCGACGTAAAATATTGAATGCCGATTGTCTTCCTTTGTCTTCAGACAATAATTCGAAACTTTTTGGAGTGCGGAGACGTCGACATCGACGCTCAACTTGGTATATTCTGATCGGATAGTATTCCTCCGAACTTTACAACTCTCCCTTGTAATTCCAGCCTTTTATTTTTCTGACAAAAACAATTTCTTATAGTATTTGCAAGACTGTCGGGAGGACACTCGTTAAGTTTTGCATCGGTTTTTATTTTCGAAAGATGAGAGTATAATAGCAAAGGTAGAGAGGGCGCAGATGCCTGATGTCTGTTGTTATTGGGCGGTATGGCTTGAACAGGTCTACAGTAGGCAGTTCAATCGTATCTAAGAAAGAAACTGTATTATCGAGAAGACTCAATCAGCTTAAAGAGTAAAAATATTACATTGAGAAATAAAGAACATTGAAGAGCTCATAATGAAACCTGAAAGGGATCTGACAACAGAAGAAGGCCAAAAACTGTTGAATGAAGAACACCAACAGACTCGGCGAGATATATTTTCTTTTGAAAAAGAGAATTAATGTCGATATCTGCTATTAAAGATCTTTTCAAGAAGTGAGAGAATGTCAGAACAACAGTCTTAGAATGGCATCCAAACCAGATTGAGGTTAATAGGCTTGGAGATCTCTACAATTACAATAACATTAATTACTTCTGAAAATTCTTGAAGAAGAGAGAAAAGCAATCGACATTAGACAGATTTTGTAACCCCCACAAACGGAAAAAACATGACTAATAAAATGCAAGAGTGTTTATATGTATATTTATTATTACATATAAATACATGTAGTGAGAAAGTATATATTTTTTATTTTTTGGTATGTCCAGAATGAATTAATCAAATGCCCATAAAAAACTATAGTAAACCGATAATCGGTTAACGAACAACATAACAAGGTTATGTATTCGTTAACCGTTGAGTGAACTGTAGGATTACGTGTGTGGATCAGCCGCTGCCAGTGACTGTTCTAATCACCGCCGTGCGGGAAGACCACCGTCTAAGAAACCTCATGGTTCGAAAGAACTGTGTGCCCTCTAGAGACTCCAGGACTAAATTTCCAACCCTCACGACTTATATCAAGGTATTTATCCTCGCGCGAAGTAAATGTAAACTCTCTCTCTCATTAGTACTTGTTATCGGGAAAATAATAGCTACGTTAATTGTAATCCAACATGATTTGTATATAGTTAAAGTAGAGTAATAAACGGGTATTATGTATATAAAGACAATCTGTAGAGTGTAATTCCTCTGATTCTCTCTTTCCGCCTCCATCCCGGAATTAAAAGTCCGCACGCGCGACCGTTCGTGAAAAGAAAATTAACGGTAAATATTTTTTCCTGTGTCTTCCCTTCGGTTTACATATTTGGTCTTGGATTTCATCTGTCTAATACCCTTCTTGAGATTAAATAACTACAGGTGGACGGACGACAGTGGGAATTTATAGGTCTACAATTTTTTTCAAATTGCAGCCTCACAAATATTGATATACAGGGTGTAACAAAAAGGTG